AAGTAGCCCCAAGATAAGTCTGGCATAACTTTGAACCAGTTGCTAAGCAACCAGTTGCAGGTCGAGGATTATCTGTAAATGGATCTACCCAAGGATGCTCCAGTGCTTAACATGTGCCTTCCCCAGCAAAACCCCGGAACGCAAACACAGCGAGTTAACACAACTCAAACCAGTCATGGCATATGTGGAAAAGCAGGGTATGCTGTGGGTTCCATCAATCAGGGATACACATCTGGTGGGACCATGAAAAAGGGCCTTCTCAGTGGTGGCCCCTTCTCTCTGGAACATTATTTCCCCCGGAGGTATGGCTGGTCCCTAGACTGTTGTTTTTCCAAGGGGCCCTGAAGACGTGGTTTTGTCCAGGGGCTCAGGGGCCCCGGGGCCCCAACTGGAGAAAGGAGCCCATCTGATTGATCTGATTGTGTTACTGCTGCTGCTGTGTATGTGTGTGTGTATAATTTTTATATTGTGGGTTTTTCATATTGTAAGCTGCCCTGTGTATGAATTTGGTGGCCATATAAATTTGTTTAATAAATAAACATTTCTTTATTTGAAGGTTGTGAGCAACCCAGGATCAATTAGAGTCCAGTGGCACACCACTAGCTGTGTAGATGAGCCCTGGACAACTGTTCTTTGCACAACTAATGCAACTGAGTCCATGCCTTACGTCAAGGCCACTCCGTGTAAATTGTTCTCCTTCTTTGGATCTGGACACACTGCTGAGAGAAATCAAAATAATTCAAAAGTGAAATCAAAAGAATCATTCAAAATCCTTCTGGTCCTACTGAAGTTTTGATGAGGTTCATATTTGCATGTCAAAGTCTACCAGGTTTATATCCTTATAAATTTAATCCGATTAGAAGCTTAAAGTCCACCGATATGAAACTAGCCATGTCATTATTTGCTACAGAACCAAAGAATGATAGAAGGCGGAGCTGCAACCAACTTTGGCCCAGAGCCCAAAGGTATTTATTTATTTTCATTTATGTATCAAATTTGGAGACCACCCATCTCGTTCACAGGAATCCATTCCACTCCTGCAGGGCCCCCTGATGGAGAGCCTGCTCCCTTCTTAAATCCACTTCCACGTAAGGGGAGCCTCTTGCTCCTTCTCCCATCTGCCCTGCCTTCTCTTAAAGCCACCCAGCGTCATGTGACAGTGAGATGGGCAGCATATAAATTTAATTAATGAATAAATAGAGATCTCCATCATGTAGTTTTCCCTTCTCCCAGACTGCCAACTACTGCACTTCAGCTTTTTCTACCAAGCACTACATCGCTCCGGCTGCTCACCTCTGACCAGGTGTTTCTCCACCTTGGCGGCTTTAAGATGGGCGGACTTGCCCACGCTGGTTGGGGAATTCTGGGAATTGAGATTCACCCATTTTAAAGCTCCCAAGATGGAGAAACTGCTACTCCGAAACCTTCCCCAGTTGGTCAATGATCCTCCTGAGACGTGGCTGTCAGAACTTGATGATTTATTTATTGCTGAGCTTATCAAAATACTTATCACATAGACATACTTGAGTGTTAGGAAAAAGGCTGCGTTGCTAATTGGTGCTGCCTTTTCCATCCAGTGAGCCAAGGGCCCCTTTGGCTCCAAAGGGCAGGCCCGACTTCCACCCCATGGCCTGAGGCTGGGGGTTCAGCATCAGCAGATGGGGGGGCTTTGCAGAGGCCCCTGGAGGTGGCTCTTCTGCATCCTTGTGGGGTACCTCTGTTTCTCCGGCCCCTTGAGGCAAAGGCGCTCAGCCTGCAGCGGGTTTTCTCTTGCGTCTGCCATCACTTTGCTTCCCACAGAAAGTGCATTAAGGAAGGGAAGAGCGAACAATTATGCCACGTCCTTAATTGGCAGCATTAGGAAGATTCTTCTGTCTGAAAGCAGCTGAAAAAAGCAGTACGGAAACAGTTGGCAGCCTTGCATTTTCTGTGCCAAGGGATTTTGCCAAGAAACTGGTTCTTCCCAGCATCAGTTTCCCAGGTGGCACCAGACAGGCCACGTTCCCGACCAAGAGGATCATTTCCCCAGCACTCGACAGCCAATGGCCTCCTTTACACAACCTGTGAATCATGTGTGCTGGTACTCCCCAGACACTCCCCTCTCTCCAAATTTCTTCCGGTTTCTGCCCAAATAAATGACAGTTCTTGACTAGATGAAGGTTCAGCAGGCCAAAGGTTCCTGAATAGGGGTGGGGGAGCCTGCCTGTTCTCAATGGGGCTGCCTTCCAGAAGGGGCTGATGATTCTGGAGGGGCACCTGGAGCTCTTGTGGGAGGCATTCTGTTCAGTGGGGGGTCAACTTTCCCAAAGGACAATGTCGCCCCCCCACCCCCGGAGTTCATCCCCTGAAAACCTCTTGCTGAGATGGCAGTGCTGGGGCTGCGGCTGCCCTCCTTCTCGGCCAAGAAGGATTCTCTCGTCTGCAGCAGAGGTGGGACTGCTGGCCAAGCATCTGCTGCCTCCCTTTAGCCATTCTTTCAGATGGAGCTACAGGCAGAACTTCTCTCCATCATGGTTCTTTTGCAACTGCTAAGATCTGCAGAAGAGCCCTCAGCACAATCTCACCTGGAGGGGCCCTCCCTTTAAAAGTCCTCTTGCAAAAGCCTGAAGATCAGGCCATGTGGGTGTGCGTGTGAGAGAGGGAGAGAGAGAGAGAGAGAGAGAGAGAGAGGGAGAGATTTGCTTTGATTTTAAATGTTGGCTTTCAACCAATTAATTGCGATGTAATCTGTCTTGTATTTTAAACTGTTTACTCTGTTCTTTTATACTGTTTTCAGTTGTTATCAATAAAGGAAGCAGTTGGTTACTTACATGAATCAATAAAACTATTTTGTAACTGGGAAAGTGTTAGACCTTTCTGAGCCTCTGCTCAGAAAACACTGGATAATTTATTGCATGCCTTTCTGTCCTGCCACTCTTCCAGGTAGGTAAGCCCCATAGATCTCTCCCCCCCCCTCCCACTCACAGCCACCTTGTAAGGTAGATTCAGTTGATAGTGACTGGCTGAATTAGAATTTGAAACAGGTCTCTCAGATAGGACTAAATCCAGTATTAGGCACACTTTTGTTGATGGCAAATAATCAGGAAGGGCCCTGAAGCCCCTTTTCTGACCAAGCAGTTTCACTGAGGGACTAGACTGGTGAAGGCTAGATTGACGTAGGACGGATGGCAATTAGAATAGAATAGAACAGAATTTTTTATTGGCCAAGTGTGATTGGACACGCAAGGAATTTGTCTTGGTGCATAGGCTCTCAGTGTACATAAAAGAAAAGATACATTCGTCAAGAATCATAAGGCACAACACTTAATGATAGTCATAGGGAAACAGTCAATATAAATCTTAAGGATACCAGCAACAAGGTTACAGTCATACAGTCATAAGTGGGAGGAGATGGGTGATAGGAACGATGAGAAGATTAATAGTAATGCAGACTTAGTGTATAGTTTGACAGTATTGAGGGAATTATTTGTTTAGCAGAGCGATGACATTCGGGAAAAAACTGTTCTTGTGTCTAGTTGTTCTGGTGTGCAATTGATACGCAATATCAACCTAGCTCACAAAATCCTCTGCCTTTTAATAAAATTGGTTGCTTGGAAAAAGCGCTACTGTTCTGAAGCTACCTTGGTGCTTCTCCAACGGTTTCCTTCTTCCTGAGTGATGAACGTTTTAGTGGCATGCCCTGTTGCAAAAATCACATGCTTGCACCAAACACGTTACCCGTGCCTCGTGCCAACAAACGGAGGAAGTGAAATGGTTCAGTGGGGAAATGAAATAATTCACCCTGCCATCATCCTGAAGAAGAGCATCTGTGCCTCCGTTGACTCACCCCTTGGGGTGCTCTGCCTCCTGCAGAGTCATTGCAGAAATGCAGGCTGTTGCTCCGTTGAGTTTTCTCAGCCACGTTCCTGCCCTCCCGAGAGGAGGACAATGAAGTTGAAATTTCACAAATGGGTCCTTAGCCCTCCAACAAGACAAAGGTTTGACTACTCTGGAATGGGAAAATGTTCCCAAAGAGCCAGAGGCGCCTTTGGCCTAAAGGGTCTTCTTTGAGGATCTTTGTGGGTTGTTCTGTTACATTAATGACTTGGAATCTGGACTTCTTATGAACACAGACCTGGAAGGAGTCCCTTAGGATCTGCTCCATCCACCACCTGAGTTAAGCCACGCTAGCTTTTTTCTTCTCTCCTCCAGTGGTGGATTAACCATTAAGCGGACTAAGCACCTGTTTAGGGCGCCAGGCCCAAAGGGGGCACCACAAAGTTGAGAAAGAAAAAAAAACAACCAATGAAGATTTGTAAAAAACAAAGGAGGGGGGCACCAAGATTTATGGTTAAGGCTCACCAGTGAGCCTTAATCCGCCGCTGCTCTCCTCCTTCACTAAGCTGCTGGTTTATGATTTCCTTTTCCTTTTGAATTTCTGAAGAGACTCTTTGTGTTGCCCTGAGCATCCTTCATTAATCTCGGTTTATTTTAGCTTTCCTGGCACTCCTTCTGCAAAGGCAGGCGTTTCTCTTCATATTTCTGGGGTGACCTCCTTCCACTTGCCACAGGAGTCCTTTTCACAAAGCCTTTTGTGCAGCCAAGTTGGCTTCTGCTGTCTTTCTCTCCCTCCCCCCCACGTCCCCTCCCCCGTCATTTTAAGTCTTCAAAATTATCTTTTTAGGACTCTTTGGAGAAGCTCCTCCCCCCTCCCAGAACTCAACTCTACAAGTTCCTGTCTTGGAATTAATCTGAGCGGTTGGCACGTGAGACCTATCTGACATTCAGAATCCAGGAAATTAAATTTTTATTGTGTCTCCTCTGAATTATGTTCCTGCTCTTCTCCTGTGTTGACAAAGAATCTTTGCAGATGTTTTGTCTCCCCTCCCTCCAAGCCAGCTCTGTATCCCTAGCAACTTTCTACATGACACGTCATCCAGTCCCCATAGCAACCATTGCTTGGGCAATGACATCATGGCATTACTAGGGCTCTGTGCCCTGAAAGTCAAGAGGAAAGTACTCAGAAGCAAGGGCTGATGGAGCACATGAAAACAGGGAAGCAGATCTAAGCATGAGAACCCATCTCACACCAAAGTTTAGAAGGTAGCCAGGCCAAGACAGTACTGGCAGAATGGAGAAGCCTCCTAAAGCCCTGCTGAGCAGCCTAACAAGTGCCTCAGATCCATGATGGTTTCTTTTTCTGTAATGAACTCTACGTGGACACAGACCCCTCCACCAAGCACCAAATTAAGTGCTTCTGGATGTTAGCTTTTCATTAAAACCCTGAAAGGTGAGGCATTAGATTGACTGTATGCATGAATCCCCATATGCAAACACAACAGAAGGATTTATGGCTCCTTCTGGATGTTGGTGTTCAAAGCTGTCCTAGAAAGCCATTTTCTGGATGTCTTCCGGCAGCCATTTCAGTTTTCCTCTCCCATAGCCAGAGGTGGGTTTCAGCAGGTTCTGACCAGTTCTGGAGAACCGGTAGCGGACATTTTGAGTAGTTCGGAGAACCAGTAGTAAAAATTCTAACTGGCCCCGCCCCCATCTATTCTCTGCCCCCCAAATCCCAACTGATCGGGAGGAAATGGGGATTTTGCAGTAACCTTCCCCTGGATTGGGGTGGGAATGGAGATTTTACAGTATCCTTCCCCTGCCACGCCCACCAAGCCACGCCCACCAAGCCATGCCACGCCCACCAAGCCACACCCACGGAACCGGAAGTAAAAAAATTTGAAACCCACAATGGGAAAACATGTGGATGACTATGAATTATAACTTAAAAGATTTTTTAAATAAAATGATATAGATATTTAATACCTAAGCAATTGTCAAAGATGCATAAAGGTATTTCAAACATATGTTGGAAATGTAAAGAAGAAACTTTACCATCTTTGGTGGACTTGTGACAAATTGAAGAAATACTGGGGTAAGATTCATATTTTAATACAAACAATCCTCAAAATGAAAATAGAACTGAACAAGTGAGCGGACAAGGAACTTGGGAAAAAAGTCAGGAACTTTGTTGTTGTATATGCCGATCACAGTGAGAGTGGAAAGATATGCTAACTTCCCCAATGGAAGAATGGCTGGAAAAACTGATTGTCCAGGTTCCAAGTTACACCCACAACGAAAGAAGACCCTGAGGCTAGGAATTCCTCAAAGTTCCATTTTATTAGTGATGTCATACTGGCACCATCTGGGAAAACCCGAATCAGAAAGCTTCCAGGTTTTCCCCACCCAAGTGAAAGTCCAAGTCCCTTCCCCTGCACCCACATGTCCATCACATGGTCCAATCAATGCACCGTCCCGACTGGAGATGCCTCCCAGCCACACCCCTCCAGGTGTAGGGCAGAGTGACCTTGACTCTCGGAGAAAGGAATGTTATTATGACTATATATCTCCTCATGTGAGGATGATGGATCTAACCCAATAACTCATAAAACACACGTATATCTTCTTTTAATTTCTTTATTGCAGGCCTGAAATGGTCCTAGGCCCATTCAGTTGATAACCACTGACCTTTGTCTCTCTCTTACAGGTACACATCTGGAACTGCTGGATGGCCTTGTGGTGGGACCTCTTATACCCAGGGGGAGGAGTCAGAGGTAAGGTGGAATGATGGGATATGTGGTTATGTTAACCCTTACAGGACTATGAGGGGATGTGATACGAATGGGTTAGACATTTAACTTGACAAAAATCCCTCTAAATGTCTAACTGATGGTAGGTACATGGTATTTACATACACACGTTACATGCGCAAGGTTACATGATTTACATATAGACACATTTTTTGACGTGAGGTACGCGTGTTGTTTGTGAGGTAAAGGTTTGGTAAGTATATCAGTGGTTTGCTCTTCAGTGTCACAGTGTATGGCCTTAATAAAACCAATCTCTGAGAATTGTCTAACATGTTTACACTTAATGTCAATGTGCCTTGATCTCTGTCCCACGATATCGGCCTTTGATATTTCTATGGCTGCTTTATTATGTTGGCTGGCGACACCCAGGGGGAGGGCCTTCTCTGTGGGAGCCCCAGCCCTGTGGAATGAACTGCCCCCGGAAATACGTAAGATCTCCGACCTCCGGGTGTTTCGCTGCGCACTGAAGACCCTGTTGTTCCGCCAGGCCGGGCTATCAACATAATAATTTTAAATTGGGGTATTTTAAATTTCTGGGGTTTTAAATTGAGCCAAATTTATTTAATCATTTTAAATTTTTAATCATTGTTGTGTTTTGTGTTTTTAAATTGGCTGTACACCGCCCTGAGTCCTTCGGGAGAAGGGCGGTATAGAAATAAAATTATTATTATTATTATTATTATTATTATTATTATTATTATTATTATCCTCATGGATAATTATTGGGTATGATGGTTCAGTCCAAATATCACTGAGTAAGTCATCAAACCATATTAGGTTATTTGCGGCTTTAGACACAAGCAGACGAATTCTGCCTCAGTGGTAGAGGTGGCTACTAGTTTTTGTTTTCCTGTGTACCAATGTATAGGGCTGTTGTTGAGGAAAAATACGTATCCAGAAGTGCTTTTCCTACTTTTGATATCTCCCGCCCAGTCAGCGTCTGCATAACAGATTAACTTTGGTTTCATGGATAGGTCTGGTTCAAGGCATAAGTGGGCATTAATACTGTATTTTAGGTACCTGAGTAACCTTTTGATGGCATCCCAGTGTAGAGTTGTAGGCTTACTCACATGTCTAGATAGTAGGTTGACAGCTAAAGCGATGTCTGGTCTTGTCCAATCAGCTATGTACAGTAGTGACCCTATGGTTAAGGTGACCAGACGTCCTGCTTTTGGCGGGATAGTCCCGATTTTTAGCAATTTGTCCCGCATTTAAAAAAGTCCCGATTTTTCATTCCGCCTCCTGAGTCCCAGCTGATGGCTAGAGGGAAAAAAACTGTTTAAACTCTTGCCGCGGGCTTCAAAAGGCCGCCCTACAACTGATCAGTGTTAAAAGAAAACAAATGAGTAGACCGATGCCTGCAAAAATAGAAAAAACAGCCCCTTACAGCTTCCGCATAGGTTAATTAGCACAAGTTGATTAGCTCGGCTTCCCCACTCTCAGCTGATTTGCTCTCAGCTGTTTTGCGCAGGGCTCTGTTCTGTTGCTAGCTGCAAAGAGTTCCTGGAGCAGATTTTTTTTCCCCTAGCTATGCTGAAAAAGCGAAAGTGAAAGTAAAGCAAGGTCTTTGCTGCAACGTGACAAAATGAGGTAGAGAGAGATTTCTTTTTCTTTTTCCTCACCAAAAAAAGGTAGATGCAAAACTGCAAACAATGGGAAATTTAGGGCAAAAGAGGAGAGTTCAAGATTTTAAAACACAAAAGAAAAAAAACTCTATTTAACTAGGGAATTGTAATAATTGAGATACTATTAATTGTATATTGTGTTGAAAGCAGAAATGGTTAAAGTTGTGGTTTGGAGGAATATATGGAGGAAATTATTTGGTTATTATTATTGGTAAATATAATTAATTGATTTGTAAGAAATTGGATTGCATGGAAATAATTGGAATATTCATGTTCATATTGATTAATATACAAAAAAGATAGTTATATAACTAATTGATTTGTATTAAAATGTTGAATTTGTATTAAACAACTGTATTACATAATTACATAATTAACCAATGTGAGGATGGATATAAAAATAGATGACAATGGGAAGGGATAATATAGAATAGAAGGAAAAATTGAATTTGATTAAGATTAAAGATGACGATGAAGGGTAATATTGTTTTTTTAAAAAATAGATGAGGAATAAATATGGCAAAAAGGAAATCTAGAAATTGTAAATTTAATTGAAATGACTAAACACTGTTTAAATTTGTGAACCGGCCAAATATTCTGTTCAAAGAAAATACATTGTATGTTTGTATGTGTGTTTCTAATTATTGCTATTTATTCATATTTGTTCTCTTTTATTCTTTAAAGTTTAACAATTCATTCTTTATCATAATATCTTTATATTTGTTTGGGATTGGCTTTCTTCCCTTTCATCTTTTTTATTGTACAGCAATCTTTCTCCACAAACCTACCACCTCTCTCTTTCTTCCTTCTTACTTTTTTCTTCCACCCCCTCTTCTTCTCCTCCCTACTTCCTCTTCCTTTCTCCTTCTCCTCCTCTCTTCCTCCCTCTCTTACCCTCACTCCTACTCTAATTTCCCTCCCTTCCTTCATCCCTCTCTATTGCTGTATCCTTTTATGCATATGGACTACTCAGAGGGCTGAAAAAGTTATTTTTGACTGGTCCTCACACTTTTGACCAGTCCTTGAACTTACGACTGTCCTCACATTTTACATTTTTGCCCTATCTTGTCATCATGGTGAAGAGAAGCAGTTGTGAAATGAGTAACATGGTTGTTAAGAATGCTGCACGGGCATAAATGTGAGGATGGTCATAAGTGTGAGGACCAGTCAAAAGTGCGAGGACCTGTCAGAAATGACTTTTTTCAGCCCTCTGGTTAGTCGTTTTGTGCATATGGACTACTCAGAGGGCTGAAAAAGTTATTTTTGACTGGTCCTCACACTTTTGACCAGTCCTTGAACTTACGACTGTCCTCACATTTTACATTTTTGCCCTATCTTGTCATCATGGTGAAGAGAAGCAGTTGTGAAATGAGTAACATGGTTGTTAAGAATGCTGCACGGGCATAAATGTGAGGATGGTCATAAGTGTGAGGACCAGTCAAAAGTGCGAGGACCTGTCAGAAATGACTTTTTTCAGCCCTCTGGTTAGTCGTTTTGTGCATATGGACTCCTCAGAGGGCTGAAAAAGTTATTTTTGACTGGTCCTCACACTTTTGACCAGTCCTCGAACTTACGACTGTCCTCACATTTTACATTTTTTGCCCTATCTCTGTCATCATGGTGAAGAGAAGCAGTTGTGAAATGAGTGACATGGTTGTTTAGAATGCTGCACGGGCATAAATGTGAGGATGGTCATAAGTGTGAGGACCAGTCAAAAGTGCGAGGACCTGTCAGAAATGACTTTTTCAGCCTCTGAGTAGTCCCTATACACATAGCCATGGCCACCCAGTCACATGACCAGCTAGCCACGCCCCCCAGTCACATGACCTCCAGGCCACAGCCACAAAATAAGCCACGCCCACAATGGTGTCCCGCTTTACCAATGTTAAAATCTGGTCACTTTACCTATGGTAGACTTGTACAGTTTGTTGTCAATGAAGGGTTCAGCTTCATTGTACATATTTTTTAGAAAATGTGGTTGCATGGGGGTTTCGCTGGGTTTTGCCTCTGACATATTACATTTTGATAATAGTTCTATGATTTTTTTCTTTTTGCGAGAGTCGGAAACCTTTGTCAGTTTTGGTCACTTGGACCCCTAAGTATTTGTCTATTTTCCCTAGTGATTTTAATGAGAAATTATTCCCTAATTCAGCGGCAAACTTGTCACATTTGGTTTTTTGCTTCCCTATGTATAATATATCGTCCACATAGACAAGGATGCCTTCATTTTTTTTTATTGAAAAGTTTTAAAATGTTTTACAAACAAATTCCCTCCCCTTCCCCACACCCTTCCCTCTCCCTCCCTCCCCACGACTTCCCAGAGCAAAATACAGGGTATTGCATTTAACAAACATAATCTAACATAAGCAAACTAACTATAAACTCTTAACTTCCCCTTACTCTTTAACTCTGCCATAGGTACTAAAATGTCAAAGTAAAAACAAAAATCATCTAATATTTCATTCATAAGCTATTTGCAACTTTTAGTCCCATATTTGTTTTGTATGTAGTCAATCCATCCTCTCCATTCCAGTACATATCTTTCATTCGAACGGTCCTTCAAATATGCAGAGATTTTAGCTATTTCCACCAAATTAGTTACTTTTAATGTCCATTCTTCAATAGTAGGTATTTCTTCCTTCTTCCAATATTGCGCCACCAAAAGTCTGGCTGCAGTTATTAAATTCAAAATCAGATTAGTCTCTATAACTGTACATCCTTAAATTATACCCAATAAAAACAACTGTGGAGTAAATTTTATCTTCCTTTTAAGAATGTTTTGTATAATCCACCATATCTTAATCAAAATGCCTTAATTTTCTTACATGTCCACCATACATGAAAATACGTTGCATCATCACATTTACATCTCCAACATGTAGTTTGTAAACTCGGGTACATACAGGCTAACTTTTGGGGATCTAAATGCCATCTATAAAACATTTTGTAGAAATTTTCTCTTAGATTTTGGCTTGGGTAAATTTCACATTTCTAATCCATATTTTCTCCCATACATCCATAGATATTGATTCCCCAAAGTTTTGTGCCCATTTTATCATACAATCCTCACTAATTCAGTTTCTGAATCTATTTCTATCAATGCATTATACAACCTTTTAATATGCGTTGGACTTTGATCCCTGATTTGTTTTATTAGGTTTTCTTCATTTTGCAAAATGCCAATTTTCTGATCTTCTTTCCACCTAGTATACAACTGCCCATACTGAAACCAGGTTTGAATTTTCCTTTCTTCCTTTAATACCTCTAAAGACTTTAATTGCAGTATACCTCTTTCCAAAATAAGAAGCTCCTTATAAGTAATCACATCTTGTTTCTGCT